AGCCCCAACCCTGGGCCGGGCTTCAGGGTGAGGCGCCGGCTGCCCCATGACGGGCGACGTCACGGTCCTTGATTTTAATCTATTCATAAAGGGCCTTTTGAACTGCTCTTAGTCTGACCCGTCACCCAGGACCTGTTTGCCTTGGGAGACCCTACCAGGGGCATATAGCCCCCGACAACAAAGCTCCTAGGATCACTCGGGTACTCGGACCCTTCCACCACAATAAGGTGGCAGTTCAAGGGGGTAGCATTGCCTTTAAATTGCTTACAATAAATTGCCAGAATTTTAGCCTCCTTGCTTACACACACTTTTGCAGTTTTGTTCGTAAATCTTCTATTGGATTGAGGTCAGGGCTTTGTGATGGCCACTCCAGTACCTTAAGTCATTTTACAACAACTTTGGAAGTATGCTTAGGGAAATTGTCCATTTGGAAGACCCATTTGCAATCGAACTTTATCTTCCTGGCTGGTGTCTAGAGGTGTTTCAATAGATCCACATGATCGTTCTTCCTCAGGGCTTCAATTTCAGTGCAGGATTGTGGGTACTGTGCATAATTTCAGTGATTCCCACAGCTGTCACTCTTACAATGCGGGAAATTATTGCACACACCTACAGCAATGTTAAACAGTGGGTCTGCTCCAAAACCCGACCGGCACGGTGCCATTGGTACCGGATGGGCTGGTCTCCATTCATGCAGGTTTTACATAAGCTGCATGCCAGGGGGCTATAACAACAGCACTTAGTACACCTTCTCCCCCTCTCAACTAAGCTACGTGTCTCTTCTGCTGTTGCAGTGTCTCTTCCAGGCATATACTGTATATGGGTCAGGTTTTGATTATGTGACCATGAAAGCATGCAAACATGGACTGCTGGTTATGTAGATCTGTCCTTCTGCACATATAACAACAACAAGCCCTGGTTTACAGCCAGACTCGAGCTGATTCATCGTGCAAAAAGGGAGGCTTACAGATGTGTAGACAGGACACTGTACGGCCAGGCCAGGAACTCACTGACAAAGGAGATCAAAGCAGCAAAGAGGAGCTACTCTGAAAAGCTTAGGTTTCAGCCAACGACCCCTCGTCTGTGTGGGAGAGCCTCAAAAACATTACAGGCTATAGGAAACCACCCCCCTGCCGTCAAAAAAAAACACAACAAAAGAAAAGCATGCCATGGGCTCTTTAAGCGGTTTTGAACTTCACTGACACTTTAGCTATATCTGTAGGTCAGTATTTCTCAAAGATCATTCAGCAGAGTTTTGAGTGGTTATTGTCTGGATAGTAGGTAGAGTACAGAAAGGCCATAGAGATGGATGTGTGATTTTACTGCAAAGAATAAAGAAGATCACAGGGTTGTCTTCTGGTGAAGTTCCAACCTCCCAGCTGGTACTCCTAGCCATGTGGCCTCAAGAAACATGGGCTTCTCTGGGGTCTGCATCCATAGCTGCTGCACTCCCAGCTAGCACAAAAGCAAACTAGTTGCATTTGCTTTACCTTTCTCCACAAATATGCACTGCATCAGATAAATGCCAGTAATTTCAGCCTACCAATCAAGTGCGGGTTTTACTGGCTTGTTCCACAGTTAAATAACTTTTCATATTCTAACTCCATGTTTGCCAGGATTTCTTAAGTTTAACATTTCCAACATACTGACAGCTTGTCAGGAAGACATCATATTACCAATGATGCAGATCAATACATAGGACCCATTTGTAATCCTTAAACTATATGTTTTGTTTTTAAAGACTGACATAGTTGTAAAGAGCAGTTGCAAATGTTACAGCACCTTCACATCAAATCATTCAAATTTCTGTTTTGAGATTTTTTTTCCCCAGTGTTTTGTACACAAGATATTTCTGCTCTCAATATCTAAATCTGAAGGAAAACAAAGCTGCTAAGAGGTCTTTATTCAGTAGTTTCTGCAGACACAGTTAGACAATATTTTGTATTTGTCTTCAAGGTTTGTTTCTGAAATAATTGTGTGTCCTCCAATAATTCCAAAGAAATCAAGATTAGCCGAGCTGGGATACAGCATTATTATACTTTTATTGGTTCATTTTATGTGGCATAGAATTTCAGAATGATAGCAGCTTCTTGTTATTCTGAAGCTCTGAGTGTTAGAAGCGCCTTTTACACTGCCCATTTGATGTGGGATTTTTTTTCTGCCAACTTTCCACCTCACCATTCTGTGCAAAAGGTACAGTCCTGAAATGCTTGGTCAATGATGGACCCTGCCTCTAATAACCTACCAGCTTTCCAGCAGCTGTGTAAAAGGAACACAGGAGTTGGCTGGCTTTTTTAAGCCTTGTGTAAATTTTAGGCAAGACTAAATTACTCCCTCCATTGCCAACAGAACAGTAGTCCCTCCAGCCATCCACTGATTACATTTTTGTTACAAATGTACCATTTCATTGCATTTTTCACCCAGAGTATTTTCTTCTTTGTACATATTATATTTAGACTAGACCTGGCTATTTCCTATGTCGTCTTTGGTCTCTTTATTTTCAGTAACTACTTTCATATCGGCACCGAGTTAATAACTTGGATTAATAAATTCCTCAGAGTGTAGTCCGCTATGAAAGACTTTGGTGCCCTATTCTAACACTGTATTGAACATTAAATATTCAATATTGGTGTTTGTGGAGCTGCTTCTCCTTTGTATTTGTGTTTGAATGAGAGTGGGAGTGCTCACCTCCTACACACACGGACCATACAGTTGCTGTTGCAGCATTGGAAACAGGGCGCCCAGGAGAAGTTAAAGTGAAACTCGTGGCTGAAGTTTACAGTACAGTGCTTGTGACTGCGCATGCAATAAAACCTTCAAGTAAAAAGTAGGAGCCATTTAAGGAAACACCTGCTAAACACCTGCTCCACCACATTTACCATTTCTACTCTTATCACTGTTTAATACTGAGGCAGCGCATTATTTATTTTAAAAGCTGTGGCCCTAAAGTGTTGTCTGTGCTCAATCTCACGAGCATCCCTAAAAACATATGTAAGCATAGAGCTTTGTGCACTTTAGTTTTTATAACATTACAGTGTCAGGGGGAGGAATTATGTTAAGGATGCCTCTAATGCATCATCGCCCCGCCCAAAAAGGCAGGAGAGAGTGTTGGTTCATTAGTGTTTTGCTGCTAATTTCTTTATGGCTGGAAATTAACTTGATCTTGAGTGCGCCTGAGGCTATCAGGTTTATCCATATTCTGTACTTTCACCACATGTAAAGTACTTGGCTGAATACATACTCAACATTACAGGCTTTACAATAGTGAGTTAAACTTGAATCAGACTTTATAGTGGAGTTGATAAGTCTCCATTGGCTTCCATTGTTAGCTTAAATACTTTTAGCTGTAACTGTGTTATTAAACAGTGTAAAGTAGCAGCTCTTTCTTTCACATTCAACATTGACAACATAGTAATAACTGTTATAAATGTGTATACAAGTTTACAGTCCTTAAAGTAAATAGCGAGGGGAAAAAGAGTGAAGACTCCAGCTTACTAGTCTTGCTGTTACTCATCTGGGGAGCAGGGTCCACTAGAACTAAGTAGCCAAGTGACCCATAATTAACTGACAGACAACAATCAGCATTTATTATGTATTTCAAAGCATGAAATTACTTAATACACCTTCTTATCCACTGTCCACCTTTAGCATTCAAACACTACCCTTACTGCTGCCATGCTTTCACCGCCTCCTGACATTCTCTGAATGCCCACTGGGGGTGTGGTACAACACCTGTTGAGAATCACTAGTCTGTATGATTCTTGAAAGTGCATACAGTTGGTCTTCTATATCTTTATGCATGTTTCAGAAGTCAAAAAATTAATATTATAAGATGAGGATTAAAATCTGGATGAGACTGATAGTTGAGCAATATTGTACCTCCACTTTTTTCTCATCTAGAGCTTTCTGCAAGCTGCATCCCTCTAGCACTGCAATAGTTTCATTAAACTGTTTTTCCCCAGTGCCTTTAGCCATATGAAATGCACACTAGGTAATTAAAGCCATTTATTGGAAGTCTTCTTATGTCATTTGTCTTCCAGCTTCTGCTCCCCAGTGGAGTGACAGTTGAAGTGATAGTGGTGAACATTGTGTCAGCCGGTCACATCTTTGTCCAGCAGCACACCCATCCCACTTACCATGCTCTGCGAAGCCTCGACCAGCAGATGTTCCTCTGCTACTCCCAACCCGGTGCCCCTGCCCTACCCTCACCTGCTGAAGGTACACCTTGGTCAGACCGTGGGGTTAAAGTCCATGTATAAATGTTTCAGTTTTAGTAATTCTTGTCTAGTAAAAGTTTAATTCCATAAGCAGCTAGACCTGCATATTCAACAATGATAAAAAATCTCCCAGTTGCATAAATGGGCATATGCAGGGTTAGTTGCTGAATTTAAAAAATACAGCTTGTTTATTGTAATTTTTTCTGTCATACAGTTGGCGTGATCTGTGCAGCTCCAGCAGTGGAAGGAGCCTGGTGGAGAGCACAGGTTATCACCTTCTATAAAGAAACAAATGAAGTGGAAATTAGATACGTTGATTATGGAGGCTATGACAGAGTAAAGATCGACTCACTACGTCAGATAAGGTGAGTGCCTCACTGTGTAATTCAAAAGAACATTTAACTAGATAGTATATGACAACTTCTTCAAATATTATATAAATGCTTCTCTGAACATTAGTCTCCTCCATGGTCCGAAATTAACTTTCTGAGTCACCCACCAAGGTGGCCAGTAGATGGGATGAGACGGACGGACCTACTGTGTAGCTAGGTCTCACAGATGAATACAACGGGCCCCACATGGAGTTAAATTAAACACAGCAGAAAAAAACATAGAAAAAAATCAACTAGGTCGAAGACGTTTCACCTCTCATCCAAGAGGCTTCATCAGTTCTGCCCGACTAGCGTTGAGCCAGAGATATTCATCCCCATTGGTGGTGTTTGTCCTTTGATGGCCAACAATGTCCCCTAACGACTGAGTTGTTGTAGCCCAGTATCGGTGAGGGGTGGTGGACTAAGACACAACTTGTCATCCATCTACAACTCTGTTTTGAAATCTCTGCTCAAACATGCCCACCAGGACAATAGGTGTCGGTCCACAGGTGAGGGTTCAAAGACAGGTAGCGATGCTCACCAAATCATAAATCTTGACTTCACACCTCTTTTTCACACAGGAAGATTTTATTGCTCCTGTGTGGGCAGGTCCCCACACTGAAACTGAAAATACCAACAGTGAAAAAAGTATCGTTGAAAAACTGAGGAGCAAAACTGAAAAAAAGCGGCAGTGAAACTAAAAAAAAAAAAAAAAAATCTGTGAAAGAAATGTGGAGAATATTTAAACTTTTTGTTTGAAATTTTTTAAATGTATTCTCAATTTTGCATTTGTTCAGTTTCATTATTTTGGTTCAATCTTTATTGAAACAAATGTTAATTTCATATGTTAACTATGTTTAATAGATCTTTGACTAGATATGTGAAATCCAGTGTAACACATATAACTAGATGGCACTTGGAGTGCAAACCTCTGCCAGGTGGCAGCTCAGTTTACCCATAATGCCATAAAAGCAATATTCTCGTGATGCTTTGACCCTCATAATATGATTTTTTGACCATGAAAAGCTACTGCTGGTATTTGAAATGATGCTGATATTATTAGTTTGACAGTTATTTGAGAAAAACAACAAACATGGCCAACATTTACTCACTGGTGTAGGTGTAAAGCAGTGACTTCAGTGAGTGGACTGGGCAACGTGGTGATGATGTCACATTTCTGCAAGTTTGTGTTCTGCTTGTTCAGCAGCAGTTTGATAAACTGTTCATACAATCTGTTACTGGCTGATTGTTGCACTATGGAATGATCCTTCAAGTCCCCTGTTCAGCTGTGTGTGAGAGCAGTGCAGACCCCTCTCCTCTAAACCAGACCTACAGCACAAACTATGATCCGTGTCAACCTGTCAGGTGTTATGCCAAGTTACGGGTGAGAAAAACACGGGGTATACTGCTTATTAGGTTCCGACGATGGAAACAAAGCTATAATGTGCAGCTGGAACACTGGCATCCTTCTTAACAGACAACTGTGCTCTGAATGAGATGTAGCTGTAGCCTTTCAGCACTCATAATTGTGCATAATCATGTCAAATCAACCGAGGTGTAAAATTGTTTTATCAGAATCACAAAGTCATCCACTCAGCGTCTGTATGAAAGAGAAAAGCAATAAATGAAATGATTGCACAGATTGGACTGTATTTGAGGCTGCGTCTACAGACCTGAATGAACTCACCGACACTGTGATATCATGCATCAGCTTCTGTGAGGACATGTGTGCCCACCAAGACCTTCTGCACATACAACCAACAATAAGCCCTGGTTCACAGTAAGACTCAAGCAGCTTTGTCATGCCGAAGAGGAGGCCTACAGAAGTGGGAACAGGATCCTGTATAGGCAGGCCAGGAACAAATTGACAAGGGAGATCAGAGTAGCAAAGAGGAACTACTCCAAAAAGCTGAAAAACAAGTTTTTAGCCAAGATCCTTTATCTATGTGAAGAAGCACACAGACACATCAGTAGCTACAGGAAACCATCCCCCTCTGCTGTGGAAAACCATCAACTGGCAGATGACCTGAACATGTCAGTTTGAGAAGCAGAACTCTACACACCACATCCACCTCACCTCCCTTCCCCCAGCCCCCCACCACCGAATAGCTGTGAAAAGGATGTGCATAGCCTTTGAAAAAAAAAAAAAACAGAAGATCAGAAAGGCACCAGGCCCAGATGGTGTGACCCCCTCCTGCCTGAAAGCTTGTGCTGATCAGCTGGCCCTCATCTTCACACTTATCTTCAACAGATCACTGGAACTGTGTGAAGTCCCCTTCTGTTTCAAATGCTCCACCATCATCCCTGTCCCCAAGAAACCCTCCATGAGTGGACTGAATGACTACAGTTCTGTCGCCCTTACATCTGTAGTTATGAAGTCCTTTGAGAGACTAGTGTTGGCCCATCAGAAGGACATCGTAGACCTCCTGCAGTTCACCTACCAGGCAAATAGGTCAGTGGATGATGCAGTGAACATGGTACTGCATTACATCCTGCAATACCTGAACTCCCCAGGGACCTATGCACTGGTCCTCTTTGTGAACTTCATCTTGGAGTTCAACCCCATCATCCCGGACATCATCCACTGTAAACTGACCCAGCTCACTGTGCTCACTGCACCTCAGAGAACACCACTGTTAAACTCCTAAAGTTTGGAGATGACACAACATTAATCAGCCTCATCCAAGACGGTGATGGGACAAATGGGAGATTGAACACTTGGCTGTGTGGTCATAACAAGCTGGAGCTGAAATCGTGGAGATAACCGTGTTGGGAAGAGCCACACCCACCTTACCCCCTCACCATAGTCAGCAGCACTGTATTAGCAGTGGAGTACTTCAAGTTCCTGGGCTCCACTATCTTCCAGGACCTTAAATAGACATCCAGCATCAACACCATCACCAAGAAGGCACAGCAGAGGATGTACTTCCTGCGCCAGCTCAGGAAGTTCAACCTGCTCCAGGAACTGTTGATACAGTTCTATAGAGGAATCAAGTCTTTTTTTCTGCTCATCCATCACTGTCTGGTTTGGCTCAGCAACCAAACAGGACAGAAGCAGACTCCAGCAGACAGTCTGGACCGCAGAAAGAATTATCGGTGCCAGCCTGCCCTCCATGGAGGATCAGTACACCTTACGGGTCAAAATAGGATTAGAGAATATTTCTGCAGACCCCTCATACCCTGGACACAAACTGTTTGACTCAAACTTCTCCACTCTGGACAGTGCTACAGATATACCAAAACAACCAGACACAAGTAGAGTTTCTTCCCCTGGGCCATCACTCTGATGAACACTTAACTGATGACTGTTTAACAGTCATGACAGACAACCTTCAGACAATACCTTGTAAATATACCTCTGTATATATCAGTCTTAAAAACTGCATCTAAATGATTTATGAACGCTTGATTTTTTTTCAGAAATAATGTAATCTCCATTGCGCAACATTTGAAGGAATTCTTGTTGTGGCTATACCATGCTACCGGAACAGTGTTTTACAAAATAACCAAGACACTTCAACAAAAAAACCTTTATTTTGGGGGAAACACAATGATCAAAATTAGGAAACAGCAATGACTGTAGCACAGAGAAAGATCACAACATTTTCTGAAGGTTACAACAGTCAACAATGAATAGGAAGAGTACAGGCCCTTGCTTTGAATGACTTCAGCACATCTGCTGCAACAGGACATCACTAGTCTCTCACACTGCTCTGGTGTGATTTTTGGCCCACTCTTCTTCTAGTCTCTTCCACAGATTGGTTACTGTAGTGGGTTTCTTGGCCATAACTTTGTTGCCATGGATTTTCCAGAGATTTACTATTGGGTTTAGATCAGGACTCTGGGCTGGCCATTTCATTATTTCAGTGTTTTCAGTTTCAAGGAACAGCTTTACCCGTTTTGCTGTGTGACAGGGGGCATTGTCCTGCATGAAAATTGCTGGCTGATTTGATGATGAACGCAGCGAAGGGAACCACATGTTGTTGAGGAATGTTTTGATAAACATTTGCATTCTCTCTGCCTTGTAGCTGTATGAGGCCCAACTCCTGCTGCAGAAAACATTCCCCAAACCATGACACTTCCTCTTCCACCTTTCACTGACTTCTTTACACACTTTGCGTTCAGTCTTTCCCCAGTTTGATGAGAAACATAATGTTTCCCATTGGACTCAAATAAATTAAACTTGCTTTCATCACTAAAGTGAACTTTGGACCAGTTCTCCTTTGTCCACACAACATGCTCCTCAGCAAAGGTTAGTCTAGCCTTTTGATTCTTTCTGCTAATGAGAGGTTTGGTCACTGCAGAGTGGGCTTTCAGTCCAAATGGTCTTAAACGTCGAGACACTGTATGACGAGACAGATCTTTACCCTGTTCAGTGCTCGGTGAGCAATTCCAGCTGCAGTGTTGAACCGATTGCCCACTGAGATTCTCTGCATTATCCTGTCCTCTCTTGCATTTGTCTTTCATGGATGACCAGCCTTCTTGGGAAACTTGAATGAGTCCATGACATTGTAAAGATGCAATATTCTGGAAATCTTAGATTTGGAACAACCAACTTCTCTGGCCGTGGCTGATAGTCATCCCTTTGGCCTTAATCTGGACAACCTGCTGTCAAAGGATTTCAGTCACTTTAGAATGGCTCACCATCTTGCAAAGTTAGGCTGCCAGTTAAATGGGGTTTGTCAGATAATTAAGGAAATTGGCACCAGATGCCAGATTATCACCAAAAACTGGGGGGTATCTGAAAATGTTCTCTAATTTTGATCAGTGTTTTTTTTTTTTCAAATATTGCAAGTTTTTTATACTGTGCTTCAGAATATATGTAACTCATGAAATCTGCTTAAAATACTGCTCTTTTACTCCTGTTTGGATAATTTCAAATAGGACTAAGCAGTGACCTTGACATTTATGAAATTGTAGGTTCTCTAATTTTGATCTCGTGTGTGTGTGTGTGTGTGTGTGTGTGTGTGTGTGTGTATTTGTGTTTGAGTACT